GATCCCAGATCCCAATGATGAATGTAACTGTACTTTATACCTAAAATGTACCAATAAACTCAATGAGAGAAAAAAAAATTCTACTGTAGAAAATTAAAATGTTCTTCATAACTGAAAACCTCTGGAACAAAAACCACAAACAAAAGAAAAACAAAACCACATCTCAGATCATAAACAAAACAGTAATTTCCTTCACACATTAAGGGGTCTGAAGGCAGCAAGCACAGACCAACCATGAGACAGGACTACAGTCCTGCATGATAAGGAAAACAATGACAACGCTCAGGGTGCAAGACTAGGGGAGATGTCACTGCCAATCAGTGATCCAGTAATCAACTTGTGATGGATCCAAACTGGGCCCAACAAAGTGTGGGGTGTATGGGGGAACAGGACATGATTTCTAAGATGGAGATGTATTACTTTCTGTGTAAAAAAAAAAAGTAACTCAATACTGTAACTCATGTATGAAGGACATATTGTGTAAAAAGTGCATAGTACTGGAAACTGATATGGGGCTGCTGGGCAAGGGGGAGGTGTGCTGAGACAGCCAGGATGGGGAGGGAAAGGGTGGAAAGAATGGAGCTGCGGCCCATACATGTACAGCCCCCACAAGGAATGCGATCACTATGTACTGCAAACAGGGACTAAATAAAACAAAACAGAGCAAAACAAGACAGCCAGGATGCCTGTAATCCCAGCTACTTGGGAGACTGAGGCAGGATGACTCCAAATTCAAGGCAGGTCTGGGAAATTTATCAAGATTCCATTCTAAAATAAAACATAAAAGCCAGGCAAAAAGCCAGCCTGAACTACGTAGCGAGACTCACTAAAAAAAAAACCAAAATTAATAATAAAAGTAAAAAATAAAAAGGGCTGGGGATGTAGCTCAAGGAAAAAGCTCTGGGTTCAACCCCTAGTATCATAATTACAACCCCTCCCCCCAAAAAACCAAGAACGCTAGCCAAAAGCCACCTAAGACTCCCTCACATCCTAAGGGTCAAAGATGGGCCACAGAGACAATAGAGTTCCCACAGGGTTATAAACAGGCTGTAAAGTCCCTACCACATAGTGAGGTAGGGTGGCTGTAACATCACAGCACTCATGCCTGTGGCAATACGGATGTAAACACATCCCCTGCACTGAGCCACACAAAAGCACAACGCACACACACACACACAGAGTACATATTTTCTCAGTAATGATAATGACTGTTACTGGTTTCTGTATTTACTACACTATACATTTTAATGTTTTAAAGCATACTATATATTTTAAAAAGTAGAGGCTGGAACATAGCTCAGTGATACAGTACTTACATGCCTGGCATGCTTGCAGTCCTGGGTTTGATCCCTAGCATTATAAAAATAAATAAAAGACTTTACTGTAAAGTAGAGTGTTATAGCCAATGACTGTAGTGGTGCTTGTCTGTAATCCCAGCACTCTGGGCGGCTGAGGCAGGAAGATCACAAATTCGAGCTCAGCCTGGGCAACTTAGTGACACTTTCTTAAAATTAAAATTAAAAAAAAAAAAAAAAAAAAAAAAAAAAAAAAAGGACTGGGAGATGTAGCTCAGCGTGAAGGCCATGGGTTCAATCCCTGGTACTGCAAAAACAAAGAGGAGGTCACATTACACGGCAGAAGCCTCATAGATCTCATTCGTGCATCTTAGTTGAGTCAGTTTTCAGTTTTGCCTGATTCAATCTTGTGTTTTTGTTCATGGTCCCAGTAGCAGTAAATTATACTCTGAATCCACAGTGGGAAAACTGGCTTATGTCACATTTCTCAGAATGTGTCCCCCATTAAGTGAGCAAAGGCTATATGCATACTGATATATACTAGAAAAATAGTAGTATTTGTTATTATGTATAGTTTGCTATGCAGCAATATTGTGAGCAATTTTATTCCTTAAATGTACAAATTAGTGAACAATTTTTTTGTTTTTGGATCACTTTTTTGAGACAGGGTCTTGCTATGTAGTTCAGGCTGGCCTTGAACTCCCTATGTAGACTAGGATGGCTTTGAACTCACAGCAATCCTTCCCACCTCAGTCTCCCAAGTGCTGGGACTATAAGCGCACACCAATGCACCTATCTGGACTTCCTCTTGAAGAGCTGGGACTTTAACAGGCTCACTTTTTTTTTTTGGTACTGGGGATTGAACTCAGGTCCTTGCGCTTGCAAGGCAGGCCACCGAACCGCTGAACTAAATCCCTGGCCCTAACAGCCTCACTTTAAACATGCTTACTTTATAACAGATCACTGTAAAATGATTTTACCATCTCTCTCTGCAATCACCTGCCCTGACCCACAACTAGCCTGAGTCCAAAAGCAGGGGTTCACTCTCAAGAGTTTTCTACAGTGTGAGAGAGGGACCATAGCAGAGACAGTGTGAGTGGTTTTGGCATCATGAGTTATAAATAAAACCACACTATTTCCTCATCACCTCCCTTTAAGAACTACCAGTTACAATGACAAATTATTCAAAGTAGCCAAAGCTATTTGGCCCAGTCTGGCCTTGAACTCAAGTGATCCTACTGCGCTAGCCTCCCAAGTGCTGAGATTACAGGTGTGTGACACCACACCCAGCTACTCTGAATACTGTTACCTAAAGGATCAACAGAGGTGCAAATCCAGCCACAGCTCTCACACTACCACACTTCATACATTCACTCCCTAGAACGGGACCCCTTCTGTTCCACTACCTATCTGTATTACCCTAACACGTTTTGTGCCCCAGTGTACATTCATGTTGTAGATCAGTGATGGCGAACCTTTTAGAGACGAGTGCCCAAACTGCAACCCAAAACCCACTTACTTATCACAAAGTGCTAACACTGCAACTAAACCTGAATGCTGAGATTTTAGTTTAGGAAAAAAAACCTCATCCATTAACATCTTTTGTATTTTTTTAACACCTTTTGTCTTAAAAGAATAATAACACACATGCCAGTAGTTGGCGACCACCACTTTAGAGCAAGCAGTAGTCTCTGCTGATAAGGAAGCGGACACAAAGATGCTCTCCTTTGCAGTTCCTCCCTGCTGCCCACAGCACTGCACTAACAGCTCGGTGCCTGCCAACCTCAGGGCTTCAGGGTCTACATGCTGTCTGTGGCATCTCAGCCAGGCCGGATGCTGCCCTCCCTTTACCTATATACAAGGCAGTTCGAGGTACAGCAAGGTCCCCCTCTTTCCTGACAGGCTAGGACTCCAGCCCACACTCAACGCCTGAGAAGCACTGGTCTCCATAGAGGTGAGTTTCTAATGCTACATGGAATTGACTTTCAAATTTATAGACACACCCTCACATTCCAGGAACTTCAGGAAGATTCCAAAGAAAGATACACAGCAAACTTGAATTTGCTGCTGTCAGATGCCACTACAGGTGTGAAGGGTGCACTTCTTCTCCAGGTCATACTAAGCATGCACCTGCTGTCCCAGCACAACCATTAGCAGCAGTCCCCGGATGCTAAGTGTCTTGGTCCAGGCCAAAACCTACCCAGTCACCACCTTCATCCTAAAGATAGACACAAACCCAAAGAATCCCACACATGTCCCTACCCAGAAGATCCTCTCTGCCAGTCTAGAGTAGCCACGTCCCTTTAGCACGGAGGCTGCTACTTGTTGTGATGAGGCCTGACTCACATTCTGTCGTGGGACAGGTACCCAGGGTGGCTGTGCTCACAGACAGCTGCCAGCGTGCCTGGTTCCGAGACACATCAATCACTGCTGGGGTGTGGCATGCAGAGCCTGGGAGGGTGTGCATGCGCCTGCAGACTACATGTTTGCTTTATTTCCTTTCCAGCTTCCAGAATGGAAACCACAGGGTTTCTCCAGTGCTAACACCACTCAGTATAGCTATTTCTTTCTTCACAAAAGGGCCACAGTTTCCTTCTCTGTTCATTTCAAAACAAAGAGAAAGAATTCATTCCCAACCCACAGGACGTGTCACATTGCTCTATAGGTCTACTTCACTTCCCCAGGCTCCAGAAAAAGCCTCCTTTCAGTGCAGCTGACCAGATTAGCACACCCACCTCCCACTTGCCTGGCCCTTTGTGGTTATAAGCAGGAGGGAGGAGGAGTTAGGAACCAGACACCATCCTCTGCGCACTCCCCACCCACCCTCGAGTGAACAGGGACAAATTCAGTCTAACAGAATGGTTTCTAGTCAAAGTGGGGCCAGCTACCATGGAAACAAGGCAGCTAGGCTGTCAAAGGGCTTTTTCATTCCCAGCAGTACTCATTTTTCCCCCCTTGCTTCCAGTCAGTTGCCCTGGTGAACCACTCCACGTATCACTGTCACAATGATTAACTTATATGTATCCTTTTGGGGGGCAATAATTTAACTTTTGGCAATCACTGTCTAGCAAATCAAATCAAAATCCAAGTTTCATGGCCCAAGCCCTCCTGAGATCTGCCCTTTACCTTTCTCACGTTGGTTCAGAGATTTATTTTTGCTCTTAAAAGTAGAACATACATTACTGAGGGAGAAAAAGCACTAACATGATTCTCTAGTACAGAATTGTTATTCAGAAAATAGAAAACCACTAATCTATAGTAAGTGTCAATCTACAGAATTAAGAAAATGTAAAACTTTGTTAAAGCAGGGAAACGAGTTCCCTGGAAAGGCACCACACATGTGTCTCAGAAGGGAGGACAAAGCCACAGTGCATCAGCATCCAAAGACACACACAGCTCAGAGTCCGGCAGGGCCAGCCGCCACACCATGCCATGGGAGAGAGACCCTGGGGTCCCGAGGTCACTTACTTGCCCAGCTGTGTCTACAAGCTGAAGATGATATTCTTGTCCATTTACTGTGATCAACTTTGTGAAAGCTAGAGGGAAAAAAGGGATTAAATATTAGTTTAAATAAATTAATTCTATATTATTTCAAGCTTGAATAATGACAACAGACCAAGCAGAGTCCCTACACTCTCACAAAAAGTTCCCAGGAAACAAAAAACAAGTATCTTGAGTTGTACAGGTTCTTCCCTATCTATTACTGTGGTCTGGCTTGGGTAAACCTTGACTCTTCCAGAAAAACTAATTAGGCTACTATTCGTATCCAATATCAATAATGTGAATACTCTGTGGAGAGTTTCTTCCTTTTGTGAGGAAGCAAAATGTACTACATAAAGTGCGAGGTCTAGGAGGAACCAAAAACCACAAAAGTCTTCCATTAATTTATAGAAGTCTGGTGTCAAGAGCTAAAGGAGCTAATATTAATTCAAGTATTAACTTCCAGTTCATAAAAAATTAACAATTTTATTGGTAGATAAAGCAGCAATGGAACAGATGTTCTGCACTGAAGCTACCACCCCACTTAGCTTAATGATCCAATTTATCACAGCTTCTTTTTCCTACCAAGGGGGAAGAAATCAGATTGCAAGGGAGGAGATAATTCAGAATTGTTAAGGAGTCAGGCTTCAAACACAGGCAGGCAAAGAACTATTAAATGCAACAGAATATTAAAAATAATAATAATAACCATCTGGAACGCTCCGCAGAAGTGGAATAGATTTCCTATGCCTAGCCCCAGCCAACCTCCTGGCCACCCCGCACCATCAGAGCCCAGCAGTAGTATCAATGCCTCAGATAGGTGAGAGTGCCACAAGGCAAAGCAACAGTCAGATAGGAAATTCTCACTGGATCACAGGAGTTTCACAGGTTGGAAGGTAGCTGTAAGAGTTGTACTAGCACTGCCTCTTCCAGTGCAGGCAGGTGCACGGAGATCACTGGCCAGCCACCACACTGCACATCACTGCAAACCCTTCTGGAAATGATCACTTTAAAGAAAGGGGTAAGTCAGATGGAAATTCAATCAGACTGTTCCAAGCCTTTAATCCCAACTGCTCCAGAGGCTGAGGCAGGAGCACTGCAAGTATGAGACCAGCCTGAGCAATTCAGGGAGAGCCTGTCCCCCAAAAATAAAAAGGGTCAATGATGCAGGTCAGTGGTAGAGTGCCAGGTAAGTGCAAAAACACCACCACTCCAAATCAGATTACTTCGAGATGGGGGGATTCCCACTGTGACATGTTTTGCTGATTTTAAGAAAGTAATCCTCCTGATTCAAAAATGGACATCTGAAATGAACAGACATATCCCAGATAAAGAAGTAAAAGCAGCAAGTAAACATATGAAAAAATGTTCCACATCACTGGCCATTTGAGAGAAGCAGATGAAAACAACACTGAGATTCCACCTCACCCCACAAAGAATGGCTGCTATCAAGAAATCAAACAATAACAAACGTTGGCAGGGTTGTGGGGAGCAAGGAACCCTTCTCCACTGTTGGTGGAAGTGCAGACTGGTGCAACCACTATGGAAATCAATATGGAGATACCTCAAAGAGCTGGGACTAGAGGTTCCATTTGACCCAGCCATCCCTCTGCTGGGTATCTTTCCAAAAATATCTAAAGAATCATATCACAGTGGTATATGCATACCTACGTTTATAGAGGCACAGTTTGTAATAGCTAAAACTTGGACAGCCCATC